TGATTTTCCTCTTGTTGTGTTGGTCTTGAGTCCAATTAGAAAGCTACTGGCTACTACAGATTGTCAATCCTGAAAACATACAGACATACAAGTAACATCATACAGACTGAGTATTTTGTATTTTGGAATGGATGTGTATACAAATATACATATATGCATGCAAAAACAATTAATGAAAACAAAAGCCATTAATTTGAAGAATAGCAAGGAGGGTATATAGGAAATTTTGAAGGGAGGAAAGTGAAGGAGGAGATGATGTAATTATATTATAATCTCAAAAATAGAAAAAGTAATTAAAAACAAAAAGAGAGATTGAGAAAATTAGAAAGCAAATATCTTGCATGATCAGATAACCCTATTTTTGAAAGTCATGAGTCATGAAACAAATATCCCAGTGCCAAGAGTGAGATAACTACTTACATGTTGTTTGTTGAGCAGGACTCAGAGCCTCCTAAAATAATTCAGGCCCTTGACATTCCATCTTGCTTTCCCATTAGAACTAATTGATCCTTATGTTAGTTAGGGTTTCTATTGCTATCATAAAACACCATGACCAGAAGCAACTTGGGGGAGAAAATTTCTACTTCATCTTAAAGTTGTAGTCTATTATCCTGGGCAGACATGGCAGAAACCTGGAAGCAGGAATTGATACAGACTTCATGGAGAAACACTATTTACAGACTTATGCCTGGAGCTTTTTCAGCTTGATTTCTTAGATAACTCAGGACCCCCAGCAAAGTGATAGTAGTACCACCCACAGATAGGCAGGGCCTCCCACTTTGATCACTAATCAAAACAATACACCACAGACTTCTCTACAAACCAATCTTTTGGAAATATTTTCTCAGTTAAGGTCCCCTCTTCCAAGCTACATATTTGTGTCAAGAGGATAAGGAACAACCAGCACAACTCTATTGCTGAAATGTCACATCTTTGTTATGGGACATAGAGAAATAAAGCTCACATGTAACTGGATGCTTCCTCCCATCTTGAAGGTGCTATCCACACTACAAGCTGTGAACACTATGAATTGTAATACCAATCTACAAAGTAAGATGTGCCTACTAGTACAATGGTGGCATGATTGTCATGGGGAAAATAATTGCTCTTGGATTTGAATTATGCCTCATGCCACAAGAGAGAATCCCTGTCTGGTGTGCTGGTTAGGTTTTTGTCAACTTTATACAAGGTATAGTGATTTGAGAAGTGGGAACTTAAACTGAGGAAATTTACCCCATATGATTGGCATGTAGAAAAACCTATGAGACATTTTTTGACTAATAATTGATGTGGTATGACCTAGTCATTGTGAGTGATGCTACAACTGGACAAGTGGTCCTGGAGTATATAAGAAAGCAAACTGAACAAGCAAGCAAACAGTAGTCCTCCATGTCTTCCTCTTCTTTTCCTGAATACAGATTTCAGTAGTTCCTGCCTTGCATTTTGCCAATGTACTAAGACCCTAAATATGTATAATAAACCCCTTCCTTCCCAAACTACTTTTGGTCATGGTGTTTTAGCGCAGTAATAGAAAGAAAACTGGGACATCTGGTAATATAAACCGTGCCAAAAATCCTAGGCTAGAAATTTCCCAGTGGAGCAGTTATTACTATTGTTTAGCTAAACTGATATATCACCAAGCTACACTCTAAATATACATGCTTATACTTACAGAGAAGTACTACTCAAGTCTTAACCACAGAAGAGTCTCTTTGCAATGAATGCAGAATCTCATGGCTTCTCAAGAATTGAGAATAGGTTGAGTGTTTAACCCTAGTCAAAAAAAAAATCTATTACCTCCTCTAAAGATCAGGAAATATTGCTGAAGAGGTAATGGAAAGATTGTTAAGGCCAAAAGACAAACAGAAACATTATGAAACACCATTTTGTGGACAAGGTAAAGTCAATTGTAACCATATCCTTACAGCAGCTATGGATGTTTGCAATGGACCTGCATGATACTGGGCCTGACACAATCAATCATGGATTGTTGAGGGACTCAGAGGGTCCTATGCATCTCTGCTGTATTTTTAGCAATTGATGGATTTTGAAGGAGGAAATGTAGCACAAATAATAAAAACCCAGAGACAGAGACAGATATTGGGGTTAAAGCTGAAGATCGGAGAAGCAAAGCATCCAGCAACTAGAGAGTTCTCACCTCTACTAATGCTCAGATATGGGCTATCCCATCCTCACATTGCATCTTCAGACTACATTGCTCTCCATCAAACCTCAGACTCACCGCTTTTGTCTTCGCTGGCTTTATATTCCTTTCTATTGCTGGGATTAAAGGCATATCATCCCAAGTTCAAAAGAAGCTATTTTAAAATTATGCATAAAGACTCATAGCAGTAATTTAATTTTGATACAGGGTCCTGGCTCTTTTGAAGCTCTATATGTAGACTAGGCTGGACTTGAACTCACAGAGATCCATCTGCTTCTGGTTTTGCCTCCTGGGTGCTAGGATGAAAGAGATGCATCACTATGCTTAGCCAACACAAATGTTATGATAACTAAAGAGAAAGACTACACAAGCATTTTCAAGTGAATATATATATATATAGTGTGTGAAATGTACATATAATGAACAATTCATAGCCATAAATCATTGATCTGTCTTATGTGAATGAATCATGAAAATATTATGCTGAAAATAAACCAGACAAAAGGCCATATATTGTATTATAGCATTTTATATAAAATGTTTAGAATAGCCAAACCCATAAGAATGAATCATGAAAATATTATGCTGAAAATAAACCAGACAAAAGGCCATATATTGTATTATAGCATTTTATATAAAATGTTTAGAATAGCCAAACCCATAAGGAAGAAAGATTCATTTTTCAGGGATATGTTTGGAAAGCATTGTAACCATTGATTTTATTTCTTAATTGCTTGATAGAGTCATACATAAATATAACAAATGTTAGTCATTGTAACTCCTCATTCTTCTCCTTCTGGATCCCGTTGTCTTAAAACTTACTCCACCTATTTTCATGTCTTTTGTGTTTGCATGTAGTCCACTGAGCTTAACAAGAGTTAGTTTGTTAAGTTGGGTAGGGTTTTTTTAGTAAAATAAGAGCAATTTATGTATGTCTACACTACTGAAAAAAATGACACTACCCCAACAACTGTTATTTTCTAATAATCCCCCAGGAGAGGTGTGTTTCATAGACTCCACTCCCTTAATCCAGAATGAAATATTGATGGCTCCAAACTTGTGTAGGTATTATAAAGACACCCATTTGACTGATTAATATGTTTTAGAATCAGACAGTGTTTCACAACATTTGAACAAGCTAAAAAACTGTACCTCTAAATTGCTAAAATTTGAATTTTGTGCTATGTGAAACTTGTCTTAATAGATTTTTTTAATCAAGTGGGTGTTCTTGGACCCCAGACTTATGGCTGGGTAGACAGCATGGGACTGATCCAGACCCCCCTGAATGTGGGTGTCAGTGAGGAGGCCTAGGTAATCTATGGGACCATGGGTAGTATTTATCCCTGGCGTACAAATGGACTTTGGCTGCCCATCCCACAGTGAGGGATGCTCTCTCAACCTGGACTCTTGGGGGGAGGGCCTAGACCCTGCCCTGAATGAAATGACAGACTCTGGATATCCTCACCCTCCCTGGGGATCAGAGTGGGGCCTGGGTGGGGGGTTGGGAAGCCTGGTGGGGGATCAGGGGAGGAGGGGAGGGAGAGGGACCTGGGATTGACTTGTAAAGCAAGCTTGTTTCTAACTTAAATTAAAAAAAGGAAGAAAAAATTCCTAGCCATATTTGTCAATAATGGGTAATAGCTTGTCAATTATAAGGGAATAAAAAAAATGGCAAGACTAAGTGAGAAATCAAGAAAATAAAAATTTGGGAAAGAGAATAAAATGAATTATTACAAAAGTGCATTGTACGCATGTATGGAAAATCATAATGAATCCTAAGTTTAAGCTTTTTTATTTATTCATTGCTTATGGGTAATGAGCATAGGTTTGTGAATATGTATGTGTATATATGGGTGCACGTCCATAACACAGTAAGATTTGGAGATCAGAGCACAACTTACATAAGTTGATTATCTCCTGCCATGCGTGAACTTCAGTTGTTAGGCTTGGTGACAAGCATGATTACCCAAAGAGTCATTAATATATATATATATATATATATATGGTGTAAAAGTATATATATAATTATACATATATTAAATTATATTATATACTAAATTATATTATATACTAAATTAAATTATATATAATTTTAAAGTTTTCAAAATATTCTTTTGATAATTGGATTGACATGGGAAAAGTGTAAAGGGCAGGAATGGGAATAGAGTTCTCTCACTTACATTGACATGGCTCCAAATTCTATAACATAACCTGAACAAGTGGGGAATGTGAGTGGGTGTTTTCCAAAATGGGTGAAGATAATTGCCTAAAATCGGGAAATCACAATGTTCATAGAGATAGGAAGACCTGTTAGAATATTTATCTGGCAGATAGTAAACAAATTGATAATAATATAATTTAAAGAAGAGGCAACAAATAGAAATTGATAAATATAATTTAAAGACAAGGCAACAAATAGAAATGGGAACACTGATTGGGAATACGAGGGGACTGGTAAGGGAGGCAAAACTGTTTTGGTCACTGTGTGGGAAGAGGGCAGTTGAGCCTATGCTGAAAATTTTATGCATGTTAAATGAACTAGGACTTAAATATGGCTGTAAAAGAGGTTAGAAACAACAGAAAAATAATCTGCTGCATAATCTGGAGCTACATTATGTAAACAAAAGTATTCCACTAAAACAAAAAAAATGGTAGGAGGTGAAAATAAAATAGAAAGCTAGATTTCCCTGAAGAAGGGGATGTATTCACTAAGGTGAGTAGTTTTCTAACATGGTAAACACCAGACTCCCATTAACACCAATGACATCATAAAAGTACTGACTCACAAAGGCCTCCCCTGATGTAGCAAGTAAAACACTGTGGGTGCTTATGCAAACTAATAGTTGTGAAAGACCCAGGCCAGAAGAGAGGTTGAGCTGAGCCATATCCATCAAAATTACACCATGTCAGGGAAAAGGCAAAGACGATCCAGTTCCAGAAGAACCAAACTTCAATTTCCCATTAGTCAAGTGAATCGCTTCCTTCGAGAAGGCAACTGGTCCCAGCGCCTGAGCTCTTGTGCTTCTGTGTACCTGACTGGTATAGCGGAGTACTTGTCATCCAACATTCTTGGGCTGGCTGCTATGGAAGCCCACATTAACGGCAAGAAATGCATCACCGCAGAGCACTTGCATCAGGTGATACAAAGTGATGAAGAGCTCCATCAACTCTTCACAGAAGACGCCACATCTGTGGTTGCTTTGCTAGACCCTAAAGGGAACTGATGTTGCCTGGGTCTTATAGGGTGGAGGGTATATCCCTTCAGCCTCAAACAGTCCCTATTCTCCACTAATTAGGGGAGCTATTGATACACGCCAATAAAACATCTAGACTGAAGCCAGTTCTGACTCTGTTTGGTTTGTCATTTTGAGCTGTGAGATACTAAGAAGATGGGCTGGAGCAGAATCTGTGGTCAGCATGGGGCATTTAAACCATTATATCAATAGGCAAGTTTCTTCTGGGAATGGTACTGGCCACGTTCCTTGTGGGAGGTATCTGGAGGAGAGGGAATAGAAGCCATCCTGATGGGCTTTGAGAATTGGAGATTTTGGGAGACCAGGAAGTTGCCTGGGGCCTGCAAACTATGTTGCCTTCCTACACTGATGAGAGGTGTAGGCAAAGCCTTGAATTTTGGTGGAGAAGGCTTATTCATGGAATGGAAGATCTCCACTGAGGCAGAGATGGCACTGTTCATATGAAAATTTGAACTACTGGCTCTGCTCACCACCAAATGATGCCTTTGGGAGCTGGAGAACAGAGTAACATACAGAGGATGGAGGCAATACCAGATGAGCCACATTGTGATGTCTTCTTTGCTCTTTATGCCTTCATGTCTCCCTGTCTTTACATTGGTAAGGATTGGCCTTGGCGCATTTAGTGGTAAGGCTTGGCCTTGGCTCATTTAGTGAAGTAAAGTGTCCTGGAATGCTGAAAAGGGTGTCAGCATTGAGCTCTTGATTCTTTGAAAAGTGTTCTTGTTAAAAATCTAAGGAATGCCAAACATGGTGGCACACCCCTTTGTTTCCATCAGAGAAGCCAAGGTAAGTGAATTTCTGTGAATTATAGGTCACTCTTCTATATAGCCACTTCCAGGCCAACCGGGGTTACATAGTGAGACCCCATCTCGAAAACAAAATCAAAAATCAAAAAAAGATTTATTGCCACATGATGTTCATTGGGCCTTAATACATACGGAAACATCTTTGTCAAGATGACCATCACAAATACATCTGGTTTCTTGTAGAGCCAATAAGCACCACATAGACAAATTCTTCCCTCATGGTAATTTCAAAAGCAAGCAGGTGACGGCATGTTAATGGTTGGTTCCCCCTGATGACATTATCAGGGCAAAATCCTTTCCTTGTAGTGAAACAGCTATGTCCAGGGACTGGGATTTCATTATCCCAGCGGAAATATGAACATTTCTGATGTGCAATATCATGACATTGAACATATTTTTAGTCTGGCAAATATGTTAAAGAGCTATCTCATGTTTAAAGGGTGTTATTTTTTATGTGTCTATGGTTTATTGCATTCCAGTACCTACAACTGAGCACTTCATAGGACACCATGGCAGAGGAGTTGACTTGGTATGATAGAAGTCATAACAAGCAGGATAAACACATAAGGTGAGCAGCTGAACAATCTGGACAACAGTGAACACTACTACTCATGGTGGCTCCCATAAGGAGCCAGGCTTCCTGGGATATTTCAGACTCTATGTGTTTTCTGAAGTGGAGCTTGGCAGTTATTCTTGATTGAGCCCCAAATGGCAAAGCCTTTAACTAATCAGGGTGCCTGCACGTTTATAAAAATCATGGGAGCATGAAAATAATAGCAAAAGCCTGATCCAGCACCTTACTAAATACTCCATCCACACATGTCAAATTTCAGGGAGTAAAAGGGGCAGCATGAACATTGCTGACTTTAAGAAAGCATCAAGCCTAATTCAAAGTAGTCTTTCTGTGCTTTCCTGAGAGGAAGAATTCCCTTTAGTTTGGGTCTTATTGGCTTCTAGTGCTCTGTTGAGAAAGGGAAGCCTATTAACACTTGTGAACACAGAGAAACTGCCAATTCAGTGTGTGGTCAAGTCAGCCTCATGGCATGGCATGAGTCACCACGGCACAAAATAAGAGTTGAGGGAATAATTGATCTGGAGAGTCAACACTACTGGGAACTCACTGTGTAAAATGACTTGGTGTTGGCTTGAACATAAGGTAGCATTTTTATGAAGAGATCCAAGCTCTCACTTCCAAAAACTTATGACTGATCTTACAGGATGTAACTAAAGAGAGAGAGAATCTGATACTAAAAAGGGCCTTTGTTATCCTAAAAGTAAGATTATGAAAATGTATTATTTCAGTAAACTTGGGTATGTTATTTCTTATTGCAAAATCACAGTGAGAACTTACATACCTAATCTAGACAGTAAATGTATTTGTATTAAAAAGAAACTAAATATTTGCTGACATTTAGATATCAAGATGTCTGGGTTCCTTTTCTTCCTTGAAAAGTCAAAAATTCTGGTCATGGCCAGATTTACAGTCATCTGGAAATGGCTACATGCTGTCTCATTAGCACAAACATCCCTGGTTTGTCACAGTCTTATTGAGCTCCATGTCAGCTTCACCTCACTCATTAACCATCAATTCTTTCCCCAGTCCACAAATCAATCTTATGAGAACTGAAAGTCTGAATTTGTTGCCTTTGTTCTTTTAGGAGTATGCATATATCTAATGGTGGCAGTGACTAAATATTTGAGTATTTTTTGTTAAATCTTTTCCAGAAATGTAAAGTTTATCTCCCTTTCACAATATGTAATTTATTGTAGCATGGGAGGATGACTCTCTGAATTTTATTAAATCAGAAATTACTAAAATAAACCAGTAAACAGCCAGGAGGCAGATTACACAGTACTTAACTAAGTTCTACATTTTAAGACGGAAGGAATCCACAAACTCACCTATGCAATGAGTCTTCATGATCTGAAGGGTCAAATAGTAAAATAAGAGGAAGGAGAAATGAATTCTGGTCTCCAAGTGTTGTTCTCTTGGGATTCCATCACTGTCAGGACTATAAATAAATTTAGGAGATTAGAAAAAATGATTTTGAAAGTCTACTAGAAGTGTGTAGCTGTCAGGTTGAATCTTTTCCCAAGAAAAACTTTTACTGGATGAGGGGAAAGTGAGGTAAGAAAGCAGGACCTTTGTATGATGTCTACTTTACAATGGAGGCCAGAAAGTTCTAGAGATGGTAACCAGATCTCTGAAGACTATAATGTGAGAGCAGCATAGCCACAGTGAGGGTCCAGCACTCAAGCATGTAGTGTAGACTCTTACCTCCAGCCAGTCCTGAGAGAAGCTCTGTGAGGTAGAGCTCATGTTATATTTTCCCCTCTGAAAATGAAGCTCAAGCCTTCATTGCAAAACTGTGGGGAATCTAGGATTTTAAGACAGCACTTTTAAGAACTGATTCTTAAGAACTTTCACTTCTACTTTCTTTTTCTCCAGATTTTTTTTAATTTAAATTAGAAACAAGCTTGATTTACATGTCAATCCCAATTCCTTTCCCTCCCCTCCTGACCTGCCCCCACCAACCCCCTATCCTATCACTTTTCTGCTCTCCTGGTGGGTAAGGCCTTCCATGGGGATCTTCAAAGTCTGTCATATCATTTGTGTCCAGGCTGAGAGAGTATCCCTATATGTGGCACGGGCCCAGTGTCTGTGCTACTGGTGTTACATTCGAGAAGGAATCTCCTGTAACAATTCGTTCAAGGGTACTTCCCACTTTCTCTTCTAAGAGGTTCAGTATGGATGGATTTATGTTGAGGTCTTTTATCCATTTGGACTTAAGTTTTGTGCATGGCGATAGACATGGATCTATCTGCAGTCTTCTACATGCCTGCCTCCAGTTATGCCAGCACCATTTGTTGAAGATGCTTTCTTTTCTCTGTTGTATAATCTTAGCTTCTTTGCAAAAAATAAGGTGTTTGTACATGTGTGGGCTAATGTCAGGGTTTCAATTCGATTACATTGGTTTACCTATCTATTTTTGTGCAAAACCAAGCTGTTTTCAGGACTATAATAGAACTTGATGTCAGGGTTGTTTGGCTATCCTGGGTCTTTTGTTTGTACATATAATGTTGATTGTTGTTCTTTCATGGTCTATGAAGAATTATGCCAGTATATGGATGGGGATTGCACTGAATCTGTAGTTTGCTTTTGGGAAGAATGCCATTTTTACTGTATTAATCCTATCTATCCAAGAGCATGGGAGATCTTTCCATTTTCTAGTATCTTCTTTAATTTTTTTTAAAGACTAAAGTTCTTGTTATACAGGTCTTTCAGTTGTTTGGTTAGCATTATCCCAAGATATTTTATGGTGTTTGTGGCTATTGTAAAGGGTAATGTTTCTCTGATTGATTTCTCAGCCCATTTATTGTCTGTATATAGTAGGGCTACAGATTTTTTTGAGTTAATCTGGTATTCTGCCACATTTCTGAAGGTGTTTATCAGCTGTAAGAGTTCCCTGGTAGAGTTTTTCAGGTCTCTTGTGTAAATTACCATATCATCTGCAAATAGTGACAGTTTGACTTCTTCCTTTCCAATTTGTATCCACTTGATCTCCTTTTGTTGTCTTATTGCTCTAGCTACAAATTCGAGTACAATATTGAAGAGCTATGGAAAGAGTGAACAGCCTTGTCTTGTTGCTGATTTTAGAGGAATCACATTGAGTTTCTCTCCATTTAATTTGATATTGGCTGTTGGTTTACTGTATATTGCTTTTATTATGTTGAGGTATGCTCCTGTTATCCCTGATCTCTCCTGTGCCTTTATCATGGAGGGGTGTTGGGTTTTGTCAAAGGTTTTTTGCGGCATATAGTGAGATGAACATGTGGGGATTTTTTTACAGTTTGTTTATATGGTGGATTACATTAATAGATTTTCTTATGTTGAACCATCCCTGCATTGCTGGAATGAAGCCTACTAGATCATGGAGAACAATTTCTCTGATGTTTCTTTGGATTCAATTTGCTAGTATTTTATTGAGTATTTTTGCATCAGCACTCATGAAAAATATAATTGTGTAGTTTTCTTTCTTAGGTGTGTCTTTGTGTGGCTTGAACAAAGGGAATTGTAACCTTCTAAAAAGAGTTTGTCAATGACCTTTCTGTTTCTATTATGAGGAACAATTTGAGGAGTATTGGTATTATTGGTATTAGCTCTTCTTTGAATTTCTGGTAGAATTCTGCACTGAAGCCATCTGGCCCAGAGTTTTTTGTTTGTTTGTTTGGTTGGTTGGTTGGTTGGTTTGGGAGACTTTTGGTGACTGCTT